TATGTAACTACATATATTGAAGCATGAAATCCAACATTAACCAATCCAACTACAAATATGAATCATCAACTAATGATTACATATCAATCAAAGTCTTTCACTAAGAATTTACAAATCCTAGACCTAGGAATTCATAAATACATAGCTAAAACTAAGATGAAACTGAAACTCCCCTTTTAAGCTCTTAGAACTCAGGCCAGTCATCCATCTTCAAAAGTTGGAGGAAGCCTAGCCACTCATGGTGTGCAGAAACATCTCCATTAAAATTGACTCAGTGTTGCCTATGGATGAAAATGACAGTGGAAGGTGAGGGATTAGGGTTCTGGTGGGAGAGATGAGAGAAGATGAAGAGAAAAACGTGGATGGTGGCTGAATATTCGTGTCTGACCTCATTCATACCAAAAATAGGGTTTCTAACTCGAATATGACGTGTCTAGGTTGATTCATGGAAGTGGGCAAGTCAATTTTTCTCGAAATGGTCGGATCTGAATGTGCTGATACGAGGGATTCACCGTGGTGAACCATGGCAGAGGCTCCTCTTTGCTTTGTGTGCCTTAAGTCTTCAACCTTGGCTCCAATCTCAGGTGTCATACACTGAAAAGCAACAATTTAAGGCATCAATTGTCTTAGAAATTAATTGAATACAATTAATAACTAATTATGATGATTTTACCCTAAAAAAGACACTAAATCAATGCAAGGACTCTTGATCTAAAATAAGATCAATTATAGCCAAAAGAGCCAGAAAATGCAACAAAACCATGGATGATGTAATAAAAAGATAAGAATAATTTGAGCTCAATCAATTACCAAAAGTCAAAATCCTCTCCATTTGAGGAATGACACTTGGCAAGTTCAAATCCTCTCCATTAGGGCTTGACACATGGCTAATTGTGAACCATTTGAATTGCAAGACTCTAGTCTTACTTTATCGATGCACTTTGACTCCGGGTTTAACTTCTTTTCTATAATTACGGTATTTTTCCCTTTGTAATTATTTTTTGTCAGATCCCTAATTTATTCTCCTTATTTTTATCTTCCTAAATTGCCCTCTTTGTCTCAAAATTAATTTCCCAATAATTAAATAAAAAGGAAAACTAATTTCCTTCTCTTTAGGGTTTTTCCACTTTTCAAAGGTATTTGGAAAAATCTTGGATACTTGAGGGTCTTTATTTAATTCTAGAATCTCTTATAATTCCTTAGGATATCATAGGAATTTTCTTAGAATTTTATTCTACTTAAAAATATTTATTTGGAATTCTCCAAATAAAATCCCTTAAATTGGCCTAAATCACCCTTAAATTCTTTTGTAACTTCTCTAAGGGTAATTTGGTCATAAAATGAATTTTATAATATCATATAATTCTCAAAGAGTATTATCCTTATTTTTTCTTAATTTTCTAAGGCTTTAAAATACTATTCCATAATTATATTTGACCAATTTTCCTTAATTAGTCAAATTTCCATAATTGGCTTGGAAAATCATAATAATTATTTTCCACCAAAATTCTTCTATTCCTCTTTATCATTTTTGGCCCTTAATCATTTAGGAATATTTCTTATTTCTAATTACAACAGTACTGGATGTGACATTTCTCCCCTCCTAAATAAATTTCGTCCTCGAAATTTAAAGCATACCTTAATGGAAAAGTTCAGGGTACTTTTCCTTCATCTTGGTCTCCATCTCCCATGTGGCTTCTTCAGAGGAAAGACCCTTCCAGACCACCTTGACCAGTGAAATCTGCTTGTTCCTCAGCTGCTTGATCTTTTGATTAATAATTCGCTCTGGTCTAACCTCAAAAGATAGGTTGTCTCCAAACACAATGTCATAATAGCTTATGACATGTGTCGGGTCCGGATGGTATTTCTTCAGTTGGGAGACGTGGAAGATATCATGAATCTGACTTAATTTTAGGGGAAGAGCCAACTTGTAAGCTACTAGTTCAGCTTTGCACAAAATCTGAAATGGTCCAGCATACTTCAGACTTAGCTTCTTGGTCCTCAGGGATCGACCAACCCTCGTTGTTGGTGACACTTCAAGGAAAACGTGATCACCAACTTCGAACTCTAACAGTCTCCTTCTTGTATCTGCATAGCTCTTCTTTCTACTCTGAGCTATTAGAAGTCATTACTGAATAGCTTTAATCTGTCAAGAAGTCTGATCCACTATATCTGGACCAAAGATGCTTCTTTCACTAAGCTCTATCCAACATAAGGGAGATCTACATTTCCTCCCATGGAGTGCCTCGTATGGTGCCATTCGAATACTTGAATGGAAACTGTTATTATAGGAAAATTCGGCTAACGGTAAGTATGTATCCCAATTACCACCAAATCCAAAATGCAAGCACGTAACATATCTTCCAATGTCTGAATCATTTGTTCCGTCTACCCATCTGTCTGGCATGGTAGGCTATGCTGAATCTGAGAGTAGTGTCCATTTCTTTCTATAGGGACCTCCAAAACTTAGAAGGAAATCTTGGGTCTCAGTCTGAAACAATACTGCTTAGAACACCATGCAGCCTAACAATCTCCTTGATGTAAAGCCTCGCTAACATTTCAGGAGAATCTTTAACATTCATAGTGAAAAAGTACGCGGACTTAGTCAGACGGTCTACTATAACCCATATTGCATCATGTTTAGCCGCTGTCATTGGTAATCCTAGTATGAAATCTATAGATACACTATCCCATTTCCACTCAGGGATATCTAGGGGTAGCAACTCTCTTGCAGGCTTCTGATGTTCCATCTTTACTTTCTGGCAAGTGAGACACTTTGCCACATACTCCGTAATATCCTTCTTCATTCCAGTCCACCAGAAAAGCTCTCTAACATCATGATACATCTTTGTCATTCCTGGATGAAGAGTATATTTGCTCTTATGGGCTTCTGCTAGTATCTTTTCTCTAAGGTCGACAACTTGGGGAACATAGGTTCTTCCTTTAAACTTCAATATCCCTCCTCTAAAATTTCAAAGTTCTTAGTCTCGTCTCTAGACAATTTCCCTTTGAAAATTTCTGCTAGCCAATCCTGTGACTATGCTTCTCTGATTTGCCCCTCGAGCAGAGCTGTAAACTGGGTTCTACCTTCATTTTCTTCTACTAACTGCATCTGATATAGAGGACCCCAATCTCTAAAATCCTCTACCAGCTGCTGCTCCTTAATCATTAGTGATGCTACTTGTATTGCCTTTCTACTCATGGCATCCACAACTATGTTCTCTTTGCCTGGATGGTACTTAATCTAGAAATCGTAGTCCTTAAGCAAGTCCATCCATCTTTGTTGTCTCATATTCAACTCTTTTTTATCATGGAGGTACTTGAGGCTCTTGTGGTCGTAAAACAATTCTATTGTTGCTCTCTGTACAAATAATGTCTCCATATCTTCAACGTATAAACTATCGCTGCCAATTCCAGGTCGTGGGTTGGGTAATTCTCCTCATGAGATTTCAACTGCGTGAGGCATATGCTACTACCCGCCCTTGTTGCATAAGCACACATCCTAGTCACTGCTTGGTAGCATCTGTATAAACCACATAGGGTTGCAAAGGATTAGGGAGTACAAGTATGGGAGTAGAGGTGAGCTTCCTCTTCAGCTCCTGAAAACTAGCCTCACTCTTCTCATCCGACAAAAATAGCTGGTTCTTCCTGGTTAACTTGGTCAGCAGAAGAGAAATTTGAGAAAAGTCCTGGATGAATCTTTGTAACACCCTGCTAGTTTAAGGAAACTTCTGATCTCGGTCACTGTCTTGGGTCTCTCCCAATTGAGTAGTGCCTCAATCTTACCAGGGTCAACAGCCACTCCCTCTTGGGAAATCACATGGCTGAGAAATCAGACTTCCTCTAGCCAAAACTCACACTTACTAAGTTTGGCCACCAACTGCTTCTCTTTTAGGGTATTTAGGACAATTCTCAAATGTGTCTTATGTTCTTTAGAGACTTGGAGTACACTAGGATATCATCAATAAACACTACCAGGAATTGATCTAAGTAAGGGTGAGAGATCCTATTCATGTAGTCCACGAATATCGTAGGTGCATTCGTCAATCCGAATGGCATCACTAAGAACTCATAGTGCCCATAACGAGTTCTAAATGCAGTCTTAGGGACATCATCAGGTTTAATCTTGAGTTGGTGGTAGCCAAATCTTAAATCAATCTTAGAGAACACCTTGGTACCAACTAACTGGTCTAATAGATCATCTATCCTAGGGAGTGGATACTTGTTCTTAACTGTGACTTTGTTCAACTCCTTGTAGTCTATGCATAATCTTAAACTACCGTCCCTTTTCTTAACAAATAATACTGGAGCACCCCATGGTGATACATTTGGTCTAATAAAACCTTTCTCAAGTAATTCCTCTATCTGCTTCTTAAGTTCTGCCATTTCATTTGGAGGCATTCTGGAAGGGGCCTTAGAAATTGGTCCTACTCCAGGTATAATGTCAATCGTGAATTCTACTTCTCTGTCTGGGGGTAGTCCTGTGACCTCTATCGAAAACACTTCCGAAAACTCCTTAACAATTGGGATTTCTTCTATCCCCTCTTCTACTTCTACTTGCATCGAGAAGAAAATAAGGAATCCTTGACAACCTTTCCGTAGGCATTTGCCTGCTTGGGCTTCCGTTAAGAAATTCAATCTAACCTCCGGATTCAACTCTAAACCTCTCGAGGGTAAGATTAGGGTTTTGTTCTTACAGTCCATTAAGATATTGTGAGATGATAACCAATTTAGTCCAATCACCACATTAATTTCATGGAAGGGCATACGTATTAAGTCTATAACAGTACAACAGTGCTCATAACAAACTATGCAGTTCAAGCACGCATCAGATGTAATTACCCTATTTTGTGTTAGTGTGGACACATGTATATCATACGACAATGTATTCATAATCAAGCCAAGTCTCATAACACAGGCATACGAGATAAAAGAATGACTAGCACCCGAATCAAACATTGCAATCACTAGGGAGTTGTTAATCATGATTGTACCTTGGATCATCTTCGAGGACTTTCAACTTCTTCCCTTGTGAGGGCAAACACTCTGCCTTGGGTACATGGTCGTGCCTTTTCAGTGTTCTGTGGGCATTCTCTCGAGAAATGTCCAGTTTTTCTGCATGTATAGCAAATATTCTGTCCAGCCATGCATGATCTGTCACCATGATTCTTGCCACACTTTGTACACTCCTTGCCCTTCGGTAGCTTACCACCTTTCTTATTCTTGTGGTTGTTCCATGGTTGCTTTCTCTTCTTACTTGGATTAGATGAGGTGCCACCCTGACCTCCCTGACCTCCCTTCTCTTCTCTGGGGGTAGTCTTGACCATCAGATGATGGTTCAAGCTGCTTTCTGTGATTGAACAAGCCTCGACCGCCTTATTGAACTGTTTGAATTGTCTAGGAGCAATCATCTCTCTCAAGGACTACCTTAGTCCTCGAACCATCTTCTCTGCCGTCCACCTCCCATCGTCTCAATAGCAGAGATAACTTGAGTAATTAGAGAGATGAATGAACTTAGCCAAGTACTCATCAAATGGCTCATCATCTCTCTGCTTCAGGGTTAGAAATTATGCTTCCCTTTCATCTCGGACAGATCTTGGAAAATACTTCTCATAGAACTGCTATAGGAACACTTCCTAAGTCACCCTCGTGTTTCGAGCATCCAGAAGAATCTCAGTATTCTTCCACCAGTGATCAGTGTCTTTCTCTAGCTTATATATCGCCATCTAGGCTTTTCGCTTTGATAAGTAGTCTAATACTTTAGAGATCTTCTCTAGGTGGTTAATCCAATCTTCTACCGCTTGAACATTAAATGTTCCATCAAATGACGGCGGGTTGTGTTTACAAAAGCGAGTCATCCACTGCTGGATGCTATCGGGTTTGCTGCTGGTATTACTGGTATAGGCAATTGTTCTGATGCTTGTGCTGTAGAGACTTCTTCCTCTGGCTGCCTCCTATCGAGGTTAGCCATTGCCATTGTTACTGCTACAGCTATCACTGCATCTCTCTCTCATTCCTGGCGAGCTTGTGCCGCCCTCATCTCTTCGATGGTCTTCTGCTGATGCACGAGACAATCCAAAATTATTTGTAGTGGATCGGGAGGGACCCTTTCATCCTGAACTAGGGGTCTCTATGGCGAAGGGTTTCGTCAGGTTCTAACCATCGTGATTAACTAACCGGATAGCATAACAAGGAACAAGAAGTAAATATCATGATTGGATTTCATTTAACAAAAGAGGCATACATTATTCAACATTTAAGCATTAGTCATCAACAATGCAGTTAAAAACATACATATACCCAAGCACTACCAGTCTAACCTACTATGGTTAGCTGTACCAAAATACATCCTATGTTAGTAATAGGAGGGTCCTAGTCATCTACAGAAAATGAACAATAACGAAGCCCTCAAGGCTTTGGATCCAGTCCTCCACATCATCTCCAAGTATATAGTTTAGGCAGATGATCTCATGGGTCCAGAATGGCGTGTTAGGTAGGACCTCTACCATCTCACATAACCAATCAAAAGGTTCTAGGTAAGGGTTGCCTGGTCTATGGGCTTGGTACAGCTCTCTCATGCCCTGGAGGTAGTCTAGGTGTACTCTCAGGTTTGCATCCACATCCCTCCTGATGTGACGTCCTAGGAACCTCAGCCAGTCACTCAGCTGACCCACATTGCGGATCTCATGACTAGGCAGAGCAGGGACAGGTACGACTGGTACTGTAGGTGCTACAGGTGTTATAGGAGCTAGGGGTATAACTGGTCCGGTACTAGGTCTGGGAATGTTGCATGGATGCACAACAGGGGTAGCAGGCTGTCTGATGGACTGAATGTAAAGGCCTAGGTCTAATGGTTCTTGGTATAGGCCAGTTACAGGATCTCCCACAGTCAATTCGACCGGATCCTCTTCTTTAGTGAGATCAATAATGTTAAGATCCCAATCATTAACTGATGGCTCAGATCTAGTGTCCCAGTCCATAGTGCATTCTGTCACATCCAGCATTATGGTAATTAAAGATAAGAAATATTCTCAAATTATTGAGGATTAAAAATGATAAGGAAAAGTCAAAGGATTTTGGTGGAAAATAATTACAGTAATTTTCCAAGCCAATTATAGGAAATTGACTAATTAAGGAAAATTGGTCAAATGTAAATAAGGAAAAATATTTCCGAGCCTTGGAAAATTAAGGAAAAATAGAGATAATATCCTTTGAGGGTTATATGAAATTATAAAGTTGGTTTTATGACCAAATTACCCTTAGAGAAATTATAAGAGAATTTAAGGGTGATTTAGGCTAATTAAGGGATTTTATTTGGAAAATTCCAAATAAATATTTTAAGAGGAATAAAATTCCAAGAAAATTCCTATGAGATCCCAAGGAATTATAGAATTAAATGAAGACCCTCAAGTGCCCAAGATTTTTCCAAATAAATGTGAAAAGTGGAAAAATCCCTAAAGAGAAGGAAATTAATTTTCCTTTATATTTAATTATTAGGAACTTAATTTTGAGACAAAGAGGGCAATTTGGGAAGATAATAATGAGGAGAATAAATTAAGGATCTGACAAAAAATAATTACAGAGGCTAAGCTACTGTAATTATAGAAAAGAAGTAAAACTCAGAGCCTAAAGTACACCGATAAAGCAAGATTGGTGTCTTGCAAATCCAACGGATCCTATTAAGCCATGTGTCAAGCTCTTGAAGGAGAAGATTTGAATTAGCCAAGTGTCATTCCATAAATGGAGAGGATTTTGACTTTAGTAAATAATTTCATTTGGAATTATGTTAATTAGGAAAGAGGAATCAAGACTTAGTAGGGTAATGACACTTGGATTATCATTAAAGAGGGTGGTTGAGATATTTTGAGCCATTAATCAGCTCTCCTCTCCCCATTTTCAGACCCACATTTTGTCCAAGGGACAAAAATAGAGAAAATGAGAGAGTTTGAGAGGAAACAAGAAGAAAGCAAGCACCTTTGATCATCCAAGCAAGGTTTCAAGGTTAGATCTTGGTTCTAAAGGTTCTCTTACTTTGTTTTCTTTCATTTTTATGGTTTAAAATCTGTCTCTTCCCTCTCTTAATGTGGACTGAACTGGTTGTTAAAAAGGGGGAAAGGAGTTTTGGTTTTTACACTTACTAAGACACAACTATACAAGCTAGGTTCTAGTGTTTGCAAGTGAGTTTAAGTGGTTTTAAAGCATTTTTTCATGGTTGTTGTTGTAAGAGTTCTTTTCAGCCAAGAGGTGAAATAGACCCTAGGATGAGTTTTTCATTGTTTTAAGGCTTCCATGATGCTTAAAATGAGAAATGGTGTAGGGTAGACTAAAAGAAACAAGTGTTGGAAGCTTAAAAGTAAAGCTGAAAATTTTTGGTCAAAACCTCTAGTGGTTCGGTCAGTTTGTTGCTGGAAGAAGCAGTTTTATTTTCATCAATCTAAGCCCATTTTTGGAATCTACATGAAAAACCATGTAGGGTTAAGTCAATGTGTGATTTTTAGGGTTAAAGAGAACCAAGTCTAAAAGTAGTGAACAAAGGAGGGAGCTTTATGGTTCAAAAATCATTTTGATGTATGCTCTTGCTTTTTCATGGTTGGATAATGATTATGGCTGCCTTTGTTGATGGATTATATGGTTAGGGTTTGATATTTGTCAAGGGAAAGAGGAGAAGTGTAACACCTCATGTTTAAATTAATTAACTTTCCTTGCGGAAGCATTTGGAATCACTTTTGAAGGCTACAATTGATGAAAAATCAAGTTTGAAAATTTTCATTTACGGGTTACTATTCATTGTCATCTTAAAATGTGACAAACTTCGAAAATTCGTAACTAATTGTAGAAAAATCAAAATTGAGTGATTCCAAGTTCTACAGAAAGCTCTTTGGATAAAATTTTGAGGAAAAATAGTTTCTGAACTGATTGCCTTGAAATTCAAGCTCAATTTCCTTTGAAAGAGTTACTGTTCATTTGGTCATTTTCAGATTTTATTGTATTCATGCCTAACTTTGGAAAGGCATAACTTTCTGCTCGGTTATCAAAATTGGGCAAACTACCCCTCATTTTAAATAAAAACATCAGATCTCTTTGCTTGCCAAATCTTATGACCTAACTCACTCGTTTGATAGGTCAAACTGGAGCTACAAACTCACTACTCCAGGACTTACGTTTTATCCCTTAACATCTCTTTAATTCTTTTTATTTCTTTGGCATACATAACATGGCCTTACTCTTTCCCGTTCATGCTCATACACTTTCATTCATGCCATAAATATTATAATTAAATACATGGCATCATTGGCATCCATAACATAGTTCACAAAATAGTAGAATTATACATTTATCAACAGTCTCATCCATTAACAAGAATAATTCTCCGCTTACTTCTCCTTGCTTCTCATGCCATTATTGCCCATCATTGATTGACCTAAATGGTTGGTTAGGGAGGGGTGAGATTCGGGGGAATCTCAGTAGCAAACACTACCCATAAGCATGCAAGACATAATGCACATGCATGACATGTTATAACATTAACACATGAATGCCATGGAAAGTAAGCTAAAGCATTTCATGCTTCCATAACATATTGCCAAGGCAAAACATAACATAAAATTGCAAACATAACTTTGCAAATATTTCATCATAGCTTAGTCACATCACGGCAACACAATCACATCATGCAAGCATACATATCAAGCACACAGTATAGGTAAGTTCACTACCTTGTAACATGGCTTTCCCCTTGCTTTTCCTTTGACTCCCTTGACTTTTCAACCATGTGGGCATTCAGTCAATATCACCAAACATCCTCTTGGATGTTCCAAAGGTCCTAAACATAGTCACATTGATCATACAATCCATTAGGACCACTAGATTACATAAAGTTCAAGACTAGCTTTCTTGAACCTCAACCCTTTCTCTTAGTCTTAGGGTTTTCTTTCCAACTTTTCTAACATAAATCTTATCATTTCCCATCCTTAAGATCCATTTCTTGTCAATTAGGACCACTTTAGATGGCCTTAGATTCAAGAATATCAAATCTGGAAATTTTGCTTCGCGGGTACTGTTCACGCAGAATTTCCAGAATTTTTGCTCAACTTTGAAAATTCATAATTAATTCTAGAAACATCCAAATTGAGTGCTTCCAAGTCTCACTGAAAGCTCCTTAAGTTAAATTTAAAGGAAAAATAGTTTCAGGAACCAGTTCTACGCCGAACAGTACCTGAACTGTACGGAACTCGAAACTCTTCCAAAAGTTCAGCACTGTTTCCAGATTTCAAACCCTAACTTTGAAAAATCACCATAAATCGTACACATATCAAAATGAAGTGTTCTATCTATGGATTTAAAGCTCACAGAGTGTACTTTAAGCATGCAAAATTTCAGAATCAGATACACACAGTAACTAATCCGAAAT